TCAACTTCTGTTGGAATTTCAGAAAAGAAATGAATAATTTATTCATGTTTTGCCTCTTTTATATAGCTGTAGAATTTCTATATGTAAGCGAGACTTTTTTTAGAGGTGATCACAACACATGCTATTGTATTATGCACTTTAAAAATTATACACAATTTTCAACGCCATTTGTCACTGAAGCTCATGTGAATCTCCTCTCTAGACTCTGCTGACCTGGCTATTTAAAACCACACAAACTGAAGCCCAGACAGAACGCATTCCCCAGGTTAGGAAAGGCACTGCTGAGTCTAAATGAATGAGAAAACCAAAGAAGGGATCACAGTGCAGGAAATATATCAACACAAAGAAACACTGTGATGAAATTGACAATAACATTTAATTCTTATGAACAGCAATAAAAACTTTTGCAATATAGCTCAGGAAATTCTAATATATTCAAGAAAAAGTCCACCATCCTCTGTGAGCACCCGGTTTTATACTCATTTCAACAATCTTCCTCAGGAGTAGTCCTGTTATGTTAGAAGGTGTCAGCCTCTTGATACAGTTTAACTGCAGCATTAACTTCTTTTTTACTTTGTTCAAATTATTGCAGCTTAACTTCTTTTTCAAATACTTGGAACTGGAAGTAAGTTTAAAATTGTTGAAGTTAAAAAGTAATACTTTTCAAAAATTTATAAATTAGAATAAAACTATTTTCCATTCAGCTTTCATGTTTCTATTCTAAATAATCATGTTTGTTTTAGGATAATTTGAAAAAGAAGTTAAGCTGCAATAATTTGAAGAAAGTAAAAAAGAAGTTAATGCTGCTACTATTTGAAGAAAACTATAAAAAGCAAAAAGGCTTCTTTTAAGAAGTGGAAGGTGCACACCAATGAATTGAACAGAAGGGACCACAGGCTCTGGCAAAAGAAATGTAAGCTAATAATTAGGAATGCAATAAAACATTTATGACCCCCAACCTCTTTATAAAAATGGCTTCCTGAACCTTAGGAGACAATGCTGTACAAACAAGATAATACATACAACAGACAATGCAATAAACTACCAATCTTATTTAATATGTAGGCTTCACTGAGTTCAAAGGGCAATAGCCACCATTTAAGTATTGTTGACTGCTGCGCACATATTGTAGTAATTTTGAAACAACTACATTGGCTGCCTATATGCTTGCAGGCTCAATTCAGGTCACTGGCGCCTACCTTCACAGCCCTGGTCCTGGTACAGACCTGTCCTGGTACAAACCTAGGCACCATCTAAGGTAGACTCAGCGGAGATTGGTTACTGTTCCCTAGCCTACACAAGTCCACACATTTGCAGCAAGGGCACAGCTTTTTCCACATATTGCTTCCCTCCTCTGGAAGTTTTGAAGAGCAGATGAAGAAATCATCCCTTCGTCTTTTTGGAAAGCATGCAAAAATAACTAAGTTTCAACTGGGTTTCTCTAAGTGATTTAGTTTACTTTGTTGGTCCTGAGTTGTGCTCAGGCTATTGCTATTCAATGTTCATTTTAGTTTTGATTGTGTCTTTTTAAATGATTTTTGTAAGACATGTTGGACTTTTGAAAAATGTTTATTCTGCACCTTTCATAATACATACATACTATACTGGTCTGATACCCGTGCTTCGCTATGGTATTTAAGTTCCGTAAATCCAGTTATAATACTGATTATGTGAAATTTGAAATGTGACATTTGTTGTAGAAATTCTGAGAACTGTAGTGTAAAAAATGAAGTGAGACATGTGTCCTCCCCCCCCCTCTACTGAAGGACCTCTCTCTAGACCACATTGGTGGTTCTGCCCTCAGGTGCTAGGATCACCAGGCTGCTTGATGAGCTCACTCTGGAGCAGGCCACATTTAAGAAGCAGTTGTCTGTTAAGTCAATTCCTGCCACCTTCCACGAAAGTGATGGACTCTCTACTTGTGTTCCTAGATTGTTTTCTTCATATGGAGACTGTGTTTTTCTGAGCACCTCAGGGTGGTCCTGCTGGTACTTGGCCTGTGCAGCTCAGTGCACTGCAGGAGTACTATGTGCAAATGTCTTTGCTGAATTCCTAAGTTGCTACCTCCTTGAAGCGTTGGTGTTTCTGGCTCGACGTTTGCCAGGAGCTTTCTTGGGGATGATAAGAGGTGAGGGGGGAGTTGGTGTGAGGGAGTGGTGATGTGGTGCACATTTAGTCAGGTTCATGAGGGAGGCACGCATCGAAATGGCTCCTAGAAAGGTCCTTTACTATCTCCCCATAAACATTCATACCAAGGCCCTGCTCCTACACCTGACAGACACCGGCCTGTCTGGTGTTGTGGGGGATTGTATTTAAAGGCACCGGGGAGGCTGGGACAGCAGCAGTGCTAAGGCAATCCTGCTGAGCAAACCTCCATGGTGGCTGTAAGCATCCCACCTCCTCTCCTACACCTGACAGGCAGCTGCCTGTCCAGTGTAGGATGGGGAGGAGGGAGGAGTATTAGAAGCCACTGTGGAGGCAGGGCTGGCAGGATCACTAATACGTTACTACTGGGGCAGGCTCCCTCGTGGCTTAAAGCAACCTACAATTGCTGCTGCACCTGACAGCCTTTTAGGTGTAGGAGGTGGGGGGAGTGTGTTGGAAGCCATCCCACCTCCTCTCCTACACCTGACAGGCAGCTGCCTGTCTAGTGTAGGAGGGGGGAGGGGGGAGGAGTATTAGAAGCCACTGTGGAGGTGGGGCTGCACTTGACAGACAACCACCTGTTAGCTGTAGGAGGTGGGGGAGTGTGTTGGAAGCCACCCCAACACCTCTCCTACCCCTGACAGGCAGCTGCCTGTCCAGTGTAGGAGAGGGAGTGGGAGGAGAATTAGAAGCCACTGTGGAGGTGGGGCTGCACCTGACAGACAACCGCCTGTTAGGTGTAGGAGGTGGGGGAGTGTGTTGGAAGCCATCAGAGAGACTGGGCCAGCAGCTGACTACATTCCAGTTGGATTACTGTAATAGGTTCTACATGGGGAGAGGCTGTGGCTCAGTGGCAGAGCATCTGCTTGGCATGCAGATGGTCCCAGGTTAAATCCCCAGCATCTCCAGTTAAAGGATCTGGAAGTAGGTGATGTGACTGCCAGCAGTTGGCTGCCCATGTTTTCAAGTACAATTCAAAGTTCTAGTTCTTACCTATAAGGTCCTACACAGCTTGGGACCAGGGTACCTGAAAGACCATATCATCCCATATTGTCCAGCCCACCAACTTTCACACCCTGCTCTCCCTCCGTGAGGCCTGATTGGCACCTACCTGCCTCTCCTTTAGGTGCCAGGCTAAAACATTTCTCTCTACTCAGGCTTTTAACTAAGGGGTTCCATGTTTTTTAGTAGTCAGATGGTCAGCTTCTAGCCTGAGGATGCTTTTATCAATGTTATCTTAGACTGCTCTGTTTTATAGGCTTCTATTCCCCTGGTTTGTTTTTAATAGCCATTTTATTGGCAAGTTTTTATTTGTTCTTATTGATATTATTTCTTCCCGTTGTTTTATTGTTATTTGTTTTATTCTATTTTACTGTTTCAATTGTGCGCTACCTTGAATAGGTCTGGAGAGGCTGCATATATATATTCAAATTAAATTAATAAAATATACGCTAAAAGAGGCTATTTTTAAACCTTTGTTTAATAGTGAAACAGCCTTTTCTAAATCCAACAGATTTTCTTTATTCCTTTCTAATCCCCTAGTTTTGGAACGGCAATTTCTTTGGTCACTGTTCTAGGGAGAGAGACAGGGGAGGGTTACCATGTTAAGTCCACTGGATCTCTCAGGAGCCTTTAATATTTTTGCCCATGGAGGCACTGTTTTGTAATGCCTCTTACCCTGTGTCACATGCTGATGTAGGGTGTCTTCCATATGATTCCTTGACTGTTTTGTTTCAGAACATAACAAAATTCCACTTTACCTCCCACACCCTTTATCATCTACAGCAAAGTGATGGGAGAGGTCACTGGGAATCCTGACAAGATGGGTCACTAGTACCTGGATTAAACAACACTCCTTATTAGACCCAGATGAAGGATCCTTAAGTGTCCGTGTAGAACCAGGAACGGACTAAATTATTAAACCTAAACAGAAACTCAACTCAGGTAATCTGGATTTGCTCATGATGGGGGACCATGGAATTCAGAAAGTTGCAGGTCCGTCTTGAATAGGTTCACATTCCCGAAAAAGTTCATCCCTGGGGACCTTTCCTACTTATGGCTGTGCTCTTGAATGCTC